AGACTGAAAGAATAATAAACACTGGACTCTCCAAATTCAGGTGAATAAAAAAATCTATTTCCATTTAATAACACAAAACAACTTAGCCTTTCTCATGTTCTTTTTGGGGGAAAAATCTGCAAACTCATATTATCAACAAATTAATAATCAATTTTTAACTACTCCCACTCATTACTGTATTTTAACATCGAAGTGGGAAAGCCTAATACCACTGAGCCGGCATCTGTGACAAGGCATCAATTTCTTTCTGCTTTGTCAACTTCTAAAAGATGTCAATTGTATGGCACTGAAAACATAATCTCAACAGAACATACACAGAAAGAGTCCAAGGAAAGTTGAACCTAGAGTAGAGAGAGCAGGAAATCAAGGCATTTAAATGTTGCAGAAAAAAACCCTGCCTGGTGTGGCTCAGTGGATTGAGCACCGGCCTGCAAACCAAAAGGTCACTGGTTTGATTACCTGTCAGGACACATGCCTGAGATACATGCTAGGATACTGGGGGGAGGGGGAGGGTGTGTATGTGGGGGGTGCGCTCCAGAGGCAACCACACTTTGATGTTTCTCTCCCTCTCTTCCTCTCTCTAACAACAAATAAATAAAATCTTTTTTTTTTAAAGTCACAGAAAAGAGAACAGACATTCTTCAGTGCTGCCCAATCTAAGATATACAACATTAATAATGTTTAAACCCAACCCATTTTAGTGAGAATGAAACAGAACAGGTAATCTGGTACAGGAGAGAGAACTCCTCAGTAGACCTCAAGAACCAATCCAAATCCTGTCTCTGAAACCGGTCATACAAACACATCAAACCAGAATTTCCTGAGCCCCTGAGTATACTGCTGCTTAAAAACAATTACAGTAATAAATAATTTAATATTAGATGTAATGTAAAAGTGACCTCCAAATTGCTAAATACAAAAGAAAACAAACAGAAGAGATGAAAAAAATGGAGGATCTGAAAGTACCTGCCTAGAAGGAGCTTAACAGCCCAGTATTGTAAAGGACATGCACAAAATGATCTTTAAACTAATTAAGGTATATAAGCTGTGCCTTCCTTTTTATTTTTATTTACTTACTTTTTTATCCTCATTCAAGAACATATTTACTAATTTTGAGAGAGGGGAAGGGAGAGAGGGAGAGAAGCATCAATGTGAGAGAGAATCATAGACTGGTTGCCTCTCGGACGCACCCAGGGTGGAGATTGAACCTACAACCCAGGTACCATATTTTGCCGTGTATAATGAATACTGTTTTGCCCAAATTTTTCAGGGAAAAATATGGATGCACGTTATACATGGGTAGCACTAATTCAGTACTATATAAATATTTTTAATTCTTTTACTTATACTTATGTGTTAAAAGTGTAACTCTGGAAAGTAATAATGATATCCACGTATAAAATAATACCCTGGGAATGTGATAATCAGTTTTGTCGCTAAAACTAAATAAATAAATAACTGAATTGAAAAATTAACACAAAATATTTTTTTCCTGAACGTTTGAACCAAAACCATGGGTGCGCATTCTACACACGAGCACATTACACACTGCAAAAGATGGTATGTGTCCTGACCAGGAATCAAACCCGTGATCTTTCAGTTTATGGGATGATGCTCCAACCAACTGAGCCACACTGACCAGGGCAGCTGTGTCTTCTCTAAAATGCTTCTTTTATAAATGGTCTTCTTCACTGACAGAAAAAAACACCGAATGTTGAAAAGTCGGTGGTCTTCCACCAGAAATTCACCTGCTATCCCACCAGTTACCAGCAGTGGGAAGCAGAGAGTTGCTGCAGCCGCTCACCTGTCAAGACTTCAGGCAAGTCAGCCTGAAGTGTGTCCTAAGGGCTCTGTGCCATCTCACAAACAGGCTTTCTACCCTTACTCCTCAGACAAAGTAGAGGGAATCTGCTGAACTATTACAGGGATAGCATCCCCAATCATAATCTAAGAAGCATTATCTCACAAAAACAATGTTAAACCACAAGAGACTGGGCTTCATAAGTAACAGTATCAGCTATACAAGGCAAGATCATTCAATATTCAAAAAAAGTTTTCCGGGTTCTCATAAGAGATGAAAGAGTGTGTTAAACTTCTAGGAGAAACATGGTGGGGGGAGCTCAAACTCTGTTCCACATGACTTAGACCCCGTGTTAAAAGGGAGTTCACTTGGGGCTTGTCTCACCAGCTACATCATTTACTGCAATATATGGCACTTACACAGGGACAAACAGATCAACAAAACGTAGAAGAGATCAGATATCCAACGCAGACCTAAGCATATCTAAAACCTTTAAATAAGACAGAAGTGGCAATACAAAAATCACAAGGAAAGAAGAAATTCAATAACAGGTAATGTGATGATTAAGTTTCTATATGGAGAAAACAAAATTAATGATATCCCTACTTCACTCCACTCTTAAAAATAAACTCCAGATAGGTGAACAGTCTTAAATGTAACTAAAACTATTAGAAAAAACAGAAGAATACTATAAATGAGTATTAAATATTAGCCAAGGGGTATCAATCCAAAATACAAAGGAGAAAAAAAGCATATGGAAACATGTTTAAACCCAAAGTAATCAGGTAAATACAATTAAAATGGGACAGCACCAAGGCAGTAAAACTTAAGTGTGAAAATACCAAGTGTTGAAGACAATGCAAAGAAGTAGATGAAGAAAGAATACTCAGCTGAGTGGTATTATAAATGTCCAATATGTTGTGCAGAATAATTCGGCTGCATGGGGTCAAATTCAAAATGCCAACCACCTCTGAATCAGTGTGTATTACTATTTCACCTGTAGTTACTATCCGGAAAGCTACACACATGCTTACAAAAGGAAATGTGTTATATTTTTCAATGCAGCATTATGGGTAACAGCAAAAGAAAAAAATTTTTTAAAGCACTCCAGGTGTTCATGGTAAGAGAATACATAAATAATGTGGGGCCCTGGCTGGTGGGGCTCAGTGGACTGAGTGCCAGCCTGGGAACCAAAGGGTTCACCAGTTCCATTCCCAGTCAGGGCACATGCCTGGGTTGCGGGCCAGGTCCCCAGTGGGGGGGGGGGGGGGGCGCATGTGAGAGGCAACCACACATTGATGTTTCTCTCCCTTTCTTTCCCCCTGCCTTCCCCTCTCTAAAAATAAATAAAATCGTTTAAAAAATAATAATGTGGTATAGTATTATTTTAAAGAATACTACAAATACTACAAAGTAGTTAAAATGTATTAACTAGGTATATATTTACTAATATAGCTAGATCACAAAAATTAGCAAATGGCAAAATTTTATAGAGGTAATTTAAACACATGCAAAACACATATTTATATTATTTGGAGGTACATAAATAACAGTAAAACAATAAAACAAAGTAAACACACAGCAGATTGTTACGGTGGCTGCCTCTGGACCGGGGCAGGGGCAATGGGGGGTCAGAAGGACAGACAGAAGGGGGAGAGTAGGACTGGGAAGAATTCTATTCACACTTGCTCAACTGTGAACACTTACTTTAAGTGGCATTATGTGGAATTTTATTATATCATCCTCTGTGCTATTCTGTAATTTGCTATTATTACTGTTCATGATGCAAAAAAGTAGCTAAACAAACAAAATGGTGAAGAATACATTCTCCTTTGGGTAATAAAAACAAAACTATTTTTTGGCTGCTGCTGTACCGTATTTTTGCATTTTTCATAATAAGCCTACATCAATTTCAGAAGTGGGGGGATCTTTTTGAACAGAAAAACATATACAGGTAGTGATAAGATCCCTGTAGTTCTGATTCGCACAAATGTCTGCTGGCAGGGTTCTGTGAGTTTTTGCCAACGTGACATCCGCACACTTGCTCCCCGGTGAAGAGCTCTGCAAGTCCAACACGGCCCAATCACAAGCTATTTTGAAACTCCTGAACTTTTATATACAATGTTCATGTACAAGTGAAGAGAACAAAACTTGCTTCTATAAACATTCTAGTCTTTGAGAAAGAATAAAGGAATTCCATAATGACAATGGATTACAAATACTTTCACCATTCATTATAATTGTACAAAAATATAAGAAAGCACTCTAAGAAATAAATGTGGTGTGCATTCCAGGATGAATTTTTTTCATTATGATAAATATCTGTGGAAAGCATTTCAAATTAAAACATAATGAGAAAGTAATAAAACCTACCATTGTATTCTATTCCATCAGAAAAATAAAACTGTAACTTTTACTACAGGTAATGAATATTGGTCAAAGAACTTAACCTCACCGAATGTTAGTTTTCTCATCTATAAAATGAGCATCCTGCCATGCCTACCCGAGGTTATGGCAATCACATGCAGTAATTAATGTCAATCAGTAAAACACCTGCAGGGCTACTTTGCTGGACCAGGAGAGAAGCCAAGTGCCAACCTCAGTGCCCAGCCATGGCAGGCATTAGTGGTGCAAATTAAACTGAATATGGGAAGCTTCCTTTAGTTACCAAGGGAAAAAGGAAATAGTCTTAGAAGATGGCAACCATGATGTAACAAAATGATGTAAGAAAACAGAACCTCTTTCTAATAAACAGGTACAAGAACTTAAGATCAATACTAAGTAATGGTCAAGACAACAAAATACCTCCAACAGCAACAGCTTTAAGACATGGTCACTTTCACTTAAAAATCTGTGAAACATTATATATGATCTACAACTGTTCAGGTACTTTGATGGAATACGTGGAAAAAATACCCAAGTGAAAACAGATGGGTCAGAAAGTTGAACCTTGTTCCCCCAAATATTTTTACCATTTTGTACCTACTCCACAAACAAGTCATTCTCACTTGTTTCAGCTCACAGGAGAGGTGTCTCAGGAATGAGACACTCCCATTCCCCAACCAACCAAGCCAAACATGCCTAGCTGTCAGCAGGGCTGGGAGCCAGAAAGCTCTCGAGTCTACAACACTGCTACTTTGGCTTGAAAGTAAAACGAGGAGCAGAGGAAAGAGCCCTGAAATGTCAGAAAGCGTCTTACCAGCGTGATGTCCCGCGAAGCCGCAGCTGCGCTCATGTGCAAACTAGGCTGCCTCACAGAACTGCTGCAGTCCAGGGCCCGGGCAAACGTCCCGACAGCACTGAGCAAACCACAAGAACAGAGGGGGAATCAAGGCTCTGCTTTTTAAAAAAAATACATTCAAAGAAACACATGTTGGTAGTGACTGAAAAATTGTCAAAGAAAAGTCAAACAAGTTCTTGGATGTTTGAAAATCAAGTATCAAATAAAAAGTATTTTCTATAAAATTTAAGAATTAATAAGTCAAAATTTACCATTATAATTAAGAAGTAGCTTGTGAGGCATAAAGATCTATTTTGAAATACCACAGAGTAAACAATATTCAAATGTGCTAAAAAAATTTGAAAGTAAATTAGCTCATTTGATTATTACTGCAAAGTAAGTTCTGACCCTTTTTTTTCCCCTGCCCAAATTGTGAAATCCCAATAACATTTTTCCTGGAAATACAATCAACCTCTTCCTATGAGGATACAATATAGAACAGATTTCCATTTAAAAAAATTACTACAACACTAATTATCTTTTAATGATATAGAAGGGCTTCCAATATGTAAAGAACCCTAACTCAAGAGGTAAAGCATGAAATGAAGACTTGCTTCTTGTCTATCTTTTCAACATGGTAGCTAAGACAGAGGTTTTATAAAAGTAATTTTAAATTTATCGATTTGGGAGGGACAGAAACTGATCTGTTGTTCCATTTATTTATGCAGTCACTGGTTGCATCTTTTAAAAAAATTTTATTGATTTTCTATCTTTAGAGAGAGGGGAAGAGAGGGACAGAAACACCAACGTGAGAGAGAAACATCGATCTTTGCCTCTCGCAAGCCCCTAGCTGGGGACCTTTCAGTTCACAGGCCAGCACTCTATCCACTGAGCCACACCAGCCAGGGCCATTGGTTGCTTCTAACATGTGTCCTGACCAGCGGTCAAACCCACAACCTTTGCATATCGGGGACAATGCTCCAAACAACTGAGCAACCTGGCAAGGGCAGGAAGATTTTTTTTTAATGTTTTGATTAAAATATAACACATGTGTAGAAAAGTATACACTGTACAGCTATGTAGTGATGGCGAAGCTAAGTGTATCCATGTCGACAACAGCCAGGTCAGGAATCAGAAGGTGACAGCACCGGAGAAGGCTCCTCGTGCTCCTTCCCGACCTCTCCTCCCTCCCCATTCCTCCAAATGAACCAGCACCCTGGATTCTAACACTATAGGTTAATTTTTGCTCATTGGGGAACTTAAATAGAATCACAATACTATGTACTCTTTTTGTGTCCATCTTTTGTTCAAAATGCTGCCGTGGATCCCCACTCGCTACTAGCTGTAGCTGTGTTCATTCGTTCTCTCTGACCTGGAGCACCCTTTGTGCCACATCCAACCGCCACCCTCCCACTGATGGGTATCTGTTTCCAGTTTGGGGCTGCTATGGACAGTGATAGCCATGCCGCCTGCATACGCATCTTCTGGTGCACTGGTCTGTGCAGGCGCTTCTGCTGGGTATACATTTATGAGTGAGACTGAAGACATATGTATGTCAGACAATTGCAAATAGCTCACCAAGGCAGCTATACCAACTAAGACCCCCTCCAGTGGGAGTGAGTGCTGGCTGCTCCACCTCTTTGCCAATGCGTGGCACTGATGGTTTTCACATTTTACAGGTTCTGGTGGTATGTGCACTGGTATTTGACTATGGTCTTAATTTATGTTTAAAAGACTTTTTAAAAAAGAAATTTAAAAAGACACTAGATGCATCTCTTTGGTGCCTCTCATTCTGGCTTAAAGACAAAAGGAAACATATGGCCCTTGGTAACCAAGGAAAAAAACAATAACAATCAAATCTAAAACTGTAGGAGGAGGACCCCCCACCAAAAAAAAAGAAAGACAGAAAGAAAAAAATTGAATTATCTTCTGGAGGGTGGCCCCTTGTAGTACAGGCTTCCCTTACTAAGTGAGTGTTCTAGGAACCCCTTTGTACCCACGTACCAACTAGTGTTGTTGTGAGAAGCTGCATTAGGCCTCGATGAGTTTTTTTGAAGACTGTATGTGTTTCCCATTTCATGACAGGTGATTTATGAGCACACCTGCCCACACTGTGCTGAGTGCCCAGAGTTTTTGACCTAAAACAGCATGACCCTGTTTTAGGCTCATAAATAGGAGGGTACCCCACCCTCTCTATTTACCTGATTTCTCCCCAAGAAACCATTTTTTGTTTCCCCCAATGAAATATGTCCTCAAAGGGAAACATTTTTGCCAACGTGAAACAAAAAGCAGCAGAACACTAAAAGGCATCAAAGTTGGCGAGTTCAAAAACTATTTTGAGCAATGGAAAAAATATCTCCATAGGTGTATTGAATCGAATGGAGAATGCTTCAAAGGTGACTAGTTTAAACATGTAAGAATATACAATTTTTATAAATAAATTCTGGTTTGGGGGATGAGAGGTCCTCTCTCATACACTATTGGGGTGGAGCCAGTCAGTGGAATAGACCAAAATGAAGAATCAAGAGTAGAAAGGATTCACCAGCACAAGCACTGGCCTGGAGACTCATACAGGTCGCCCGGATTTTGAATTATTTAGTAGATGTTAGGTGATATTGGGCTTTCTTACATAACTAGAAAAAGAAAAATATAACCAATGAGAAAAGTAGATGACAAAGAACATGAAACGTGTACAAATTCTTTTACCGAGAAAAGATGTTTTTGACTCAGCAGTGCCATACTCACCGTGCTACAACTAAAAACTGGTCAATCTGTCGGTCTGTAAGTGGGCTATTGGGGTCCCAAACTTTAACTTCCAATTTTGACTGTTCCCTCTCATCTGATTCTCCTGTCCAAGAACAAAGGAAATGGAGCCCGATTACACAAGGCACATACATGGTCACATATGACTGACGACTGTGGTAACCACGGCATTAAAAACGCAAAGTAAATAAATATTCACGGTTTTGGTGCATTTTTTCAGTCAGCAGATGTAGAACACAGAACACTTCGTGAAGTGAACACTGACAGTAATGCAACCAAACCATATGGTATTTTCACTTATCATTAACATGTATTTCCTGAATACTTGTATGTGTGAGCCTCACGCTAAAGGCTATAAAGACAAAAGAGAAAGCATCCCTGCAGCAAGACATTTAAACTATGATTAAAACTTACACACAAATAGCTATTAGACAAATGAGAAAAGCAGGTGTCACAGGAGAGGTAGCGATATGGCTGTAAAGTTCCAAAGATTAGAGAAACCATTTCCGGCTAGCTAGGAAGCGAGGCCGTGAAGGAGGTGGCATTTGGGCCAAGAACAGAAAGATATGAATGCATTGGCAAAAGAAAAGGACATTAAGACTGAGAGATGAGAGCATGAACAAAGCCACAGGGCTTACAGATGCAACAGGAAGTAGCTCATTTTGTCAAAAGTACATTAAGGGGAGAGGAGGTAGCTAAGGGAAGTGGATTATGCTCACGTTACTGAAGGTGCCACCTTCATTTTCTGAAAAGGAAGCCAATGAAAAGCCCTTGCCTTTCCAGTAGGAGAGTGAGACCAGAATCAAACTTGTCATCTCACTCTTAGCAATGGTATAAAATTTGCTCTAAAGACACAGCTGATGAAGACAGAGAGACACGGGATCGACAATGACGACAGCGAAGGGAGTAGGTTCAGGAAGTCAGTGACGCACTGGAGGCAGTGGGCAGCCTGGAGAACTACAGAGATAGTGTTGGCCGTTAACAGAAAGAAGGAAGCAAACAGGAGGTGAAGGCCGAGGAAAAGACTGATGATAATGCAGGATGCTTTGCTTTAGGAAGATCTCACAAGGAGATACAACCATCAGGCAGGACTCAATGTGAGGACAAAGGACAGCAATGGAAAACAGCCTTGGGAGTCGAAGAAATTCTGACTCACAGCTATGGATTTCCTATCAGGTTGGGGACTGGTTCTGGCTTTGTTTCGCTTTAGGATCCCTCCACCTACAGTATCTGGCAGTGCCTTGCACTGACAGACATACTATGAAGCTGAACATCCCTTGAGAAATCCAGGCGATGGGCTTCTAATGTGTTCAGACCCAGTATAGGAGCAAGCAGGTATCAGTGGTTCAAACAGAGAAAGGGAGAGGGCAAAACAGCCATTTTACCTGTAGTCTCCTAAATCAGCCACAGCTGTCGGGTGGGGGACTGGGGACTCACCCATCCTGGCCCTTGTTTGAAGGCAGATAACCTGAGACCAATCGCCACCCCCAACATAAAGAAACAGGCAGAGCAGAAAGAGTACGAGGCCAAACAGATCCAAGTGTTGGAAAGGGTTTCATTTTTCATTGTTTACAATTCCCAGCATGCTGAGTCAAGACATTCAACATTAGGTTCATAGTTAAAAAGCAAAAAATTTGTAAACTGTGTGAAACTTGAGAAAGGAGAATGTCACGTTTACACTTCCTTGTATCTTCAAATAATGTATTTTAAGTAAGATAAATGATAATGGTAAAAAATAATAATGATAAAAATTAAAATTCAAGATCTTAATTTTTAAACAATACAGGATGAAATGACAATGGTACTCGGTATTGAGCCCCTCCTCTCTGTCATGTACTCCAGCATGTAAGGGTAAACTGATATTTACTTTTCAAATTCTAGTGAAACTGATGTATTACATTCCACCCATCCATTCTTCAGCACACAGAAGGAAGAGAATTCCACATAAGTATTCTAAAATATATCCGCTGCAAACAATAAAATAACACTCCCGGGTGCACTTGTACTAACACCTAAGATACAGACGGTACAATGGGATGAGAACAAAAACAGCAACAACAGAGAGAATAAAATGTTCTATATTAAATAGTCACTCGAAACTAAATAAAAAGTTCCCCATTTTGGACTCAACACATATAATTACATTTATATCACAGTTTGATCATTTTATAGTAAAAAAATAAATTAAAAAGCCTTTAAGAAGCTCTTGAATGAACTTATTTAGAATCTGTATAATTAAATTCCTTGCTAAGCCAGCAGTAATCTTTGGAACGGTCTGGGTAACCGTGGTATGAGCCAGAGACTGGACCAAGATTAATTCCATGTTCCGCTCACATTCATGTCAGTCACTGCAACAATCCCACCTTCCTCCTCCACTTATGATAATCTGCTCAAGTCCCACACCATCCAATAACCCAGTTCATAAAGATCTCCCCAGTCTCTGAATTCCTAACAAATGCATGTACCAACTAACCGTATGAATTGTATTATTAGCATCCTATTTTTGCTTCATATGGCCTTCATAATTTTGAAGAAATGTAGATTCAGCAATCATTTTAAATGTGTTAGCCTTAACCTTCAAGCTATATTTTAAGATTTCTAGAAAACAGGAACAAAGGACTTCTTTAGTATATCCTCTAAGAGCACAGCGTTCAAAGACTCTGAAGAACCAAGGCTGTATGAAACTATCCACAGGCTCTTCCATGGACAACTGGAAACACTTTGTTCTAAATAAAATTTTCTTTGCACCAACCACCAGAATACTATACTTTTTGTGTTACAGTTAATTCAGAAATACACAAAGATACCATTTATCACCATTTTTGTTTAATATTGTTCTGAAACTTCTGGCCAATGTACTATATTATAAAACACGAATGTAAAAACCTCAAAAGCATTCCAAATAAGGAAAATACATTGTTTAAAAAATCACATTCATTGTGGCAAAAAATAGAAAACACTCAGAAATAAAATTGCAGCCACACTTATAAAAAAGAAATTACATGATGACTTAAATATAAATGAAGAGTAAAAAGTTTTAAAATCTTAAGGACATAATTTTTGTACAAATAACTCAATAGGTTAAATTTAACAACTTTAAAGTCTTGAAAGCCAATAAAATGGTCCAAATGTTAATCTTCATTTTTTTTAAAGATTTAATTTATTTATCTCTAGAGAGAGGGGAAGGGAGAAAGAGAGGGAGAGAAACATCAGTGTGTAGTTGCCTGTTGTGTACCCCTACTGGGGGCTGGGGGACCTGGCTCACAACCCAGGCATGTGCCCCAACTAGGAATTGAACCAGCGACCCTTTAACTTGCAGGCCTGTGCTCAATCCACTGAGCTATACCTGCCAGGGCCCAAATATTAATCTTTACAAATCAAATAATATTATTTATTTATTTATTTAAATTTTATTTATTTATCTTTAGAGGTGAAGGAGAGAGGGAGAGAAACATCAATGTATGGTTGCCTCTAGTGCATCCCCTGCTGGGAACTGGCCTGCAACCCAGGCATGTGCCCTGACTGGGAATCGAACCGTGATCCTCTGGTTTCAAAAAATATTATTATTATGAAAAGAAGAATAAGAGAAAATAAACGGGATGAATTTATACAAAAATAGCAACAACAATCACACAAGGTTGTATGGCACAAAACTGAACAGTATCAAAAGCACAGCTATAGACCAAATCATAACTTGCTTGAACATATAAGTTTTACAATTATATGAATGTTAACTAACCTTTTTTAGTGCTTACTATGTCCCAGGAGCCCTTCACAGCAGGGTCTCTCAACTGCAGCACACTGACACGTGGGGCCGAGGAGCAGTGTGCTGGGGGCAGGGGTGTCCTCTGGGCCACAAGATGTTCAGCAGCACCCCCTGCCTCTACTCTTGGGATGACAGTAGCAACTTCACCCCCTACATCACCCACAGTGACAACCACAAATGTCTACAGACACCGCATAATGTGCCCTGCAGAATGAAACTGCCCACGGTGAGAATTACTCTTCTACGTGGTTGAGATCAATACCTACTTACACTAAATTCTTACAGGCTGGTGTTTTTAATTTGGTTAACATCCACCACATTGCTGAAAAGCACATTCTGCAAAATTACACACTAAAAACAATAGGGTTTATGAAAAATAGGACACAACTTTGAAAACCTATAGGAACTTGGTAACCAGAACACTAAAAAAAAACCCAAAAAAACCCCACAACCACGAAGTAATAATCATAATAAAAATACTAACACAGCTAAATCTCCACTGATATTTGCACCAAGCACAAAGGTCAGCCGATCCTTTATCTCCTTAAACCCTGGACTCACGCTTCCTCCACTGCCGTATAGGTCACTGTGCACAGTTTCAACAAAGTTAAAAATAGAGTTCAGGGTGCGGGTGTTTTTGAATGTAGGGGAAAGATCTTCCCAGACCTTTCTTCTGTAACTCGAAGCTTCACTATATAGTTTTTACTTTTTAATTTTTCAAATACAGTTTACTTTCAGTATTATTGTATATTGGTTTCAAGTGTACAGCATAGTGATTGGACACCCACATAGTTTTAACATAGGGGAAAGTGCCACAGATTCTGAGGCCACTCAATCAGCCACTGCTTGCACCAGAGGAAGGCACTTCTATAGAATTTCCATCTTTTGTTCTGAAGCTCTCAATCGGTGAGAACATGTGCTTCACTGATTGCTGGAGAAAACCTCAGATGAACTGACCCAACTTCCACACTATACTGACATGTTCCTACTTACCAACTGCATGTGAGCTAATTCGTGTTTTTAAAGCGTGTGGTATAGCAGAGAAGACTATACTAATTTAACTCTTCAACTCTCAAAGACAGACACCTCCCGAAGCTCCCCAACACTGGCATGAGTTATTTACCTGGCAGCAACAGACAGCGGTGACCAGGGAAGAAGTAGCAGTAGTAGCCAACAGTAACAGGAAGTGCTGACTTCTGTGCTAAATGGATTACTTTATTTGATCATCACAACACTGTTATATAGGGTGGGGCGACAGTGGGCTTACAGTTCTCTGTTTGGCAAGTAATATAATTAATACATAACACAAGAATAAACTC